CAAGGCCACTACTTCTTGAAGCAGACAGAAGTTCCCTTCAAGGACGCCCCATCGAAACTCGCTACTCGAGGTGATCTCAGCAATTTTCGTTGGCTCTCCTACATTGGAAACCACCTTTGGGTATGGGTAAATTCACCCAGAACTGGATGGACGCGGCAAGCCGCGCGGCGAAATTCGTGTTTGGCATCTTTCATAGTCCACGACCGGTCGCGCGACCAGTCGCGCGACTGGTTGCGAACCCATCTCACGAGCAACCGGCGACCGATCGCGCGATTGGTCGCCGGTCGCTAGCGACTGGTCGCGCTACCGGTCGTGGACTATGAAAGATGCCTTTATTAAAACGACTCTGGCCCCTATCATTGGGGCACAAATTTGAAGTGGGGTAGATAGTTAGCACCAGCTGGCCCTATTTAACCAATCTACTTGGATGCCGTGCCCCAATGATAGGCGCCTGAGTCATTTTAATCACCACGTATTTCGCCACAGGACCCTCATAATACTGTACTTTGCGGTGGAGGAGCCTATCGGGAGGGGAAGAGAAGCGACTACGAAATAGGAGATTGATCTTAACCTCTAGCGCGCTACGTTATCACGTGTGCGCCGCAGCCGCTGGCAGATCGGCTTCTCTCTGGGCTGTGGTTAGGTTGGTTGAGGTGATATAGTTGTTTACCAAGTTTCTTTTGGTTCTGGTGGTTTCATTCGTTCGAGTTCCAAGTGACCATACGCACAGAATGACCAGCTGATAAGCACATTGATCCTGAACTCCTCTTCTACTTGGCTTATGAGCTTCCTTTCAAGGAAGGCATCGTGAAACTACGTACAGTTTGATGCAGGCATAACCCATTCAATAGTTTCCGTCTTTCAACTGATTTTTGGTGATTTTTTTGCAGATATTAGGCTTGGGCTGGTCATGTGACTTTGTTTATTCAGCTGATGACGAAATCGTATTTGTTTCTGCACTTTGCTCTGTTGCGATTTCATTCTTGCAAAAGCATCATAGAAGAGCTACATTCCTTTCTTTATCCAGCTTGATGGCACCATAGGGTACGAGCCAAGAGTTGCTTTTGTAGCACTATATTGGTAGCTGCTTTGAGCATCTGAGATTGTGTTATATTTCCAGTCCTACCATTCCTATACGAGCCAGTTATCTTAAGCAGCCATCTTCCTAAACTGCTACCGCTAATTCATCAGTTTATATATTCCCTTTCCAATCCTAGAAGGTTTTCTCATTTGCAATATTATCCGATTCTCCTCCTGTTCTAGGTTTTGACAGTTGAATAGTTTACGCAATAATAATTAGCACTCATTCACCGACTAGCAAATTCGCCATTATGGCAAAAAGCAAACTGGCTGGATGTAAGGTTTACTTTTGAGTAGTGAGAGTTCAAAAATCGCTCGCTGTCGGTTCCATATCTCCTGACTACTTCTTTTCTTTATTTGACTACGATTTCAAAAACATCTAGAATTATGTGTGGTTTTTTAGAGCCAAGTTGAACATCGAGAGTAGTGCATAGCATTCGTACGATTTTAATTAGCACTTTGTTTATGCGCTTGCATAGGCTGCTTCCATAGTCCACGATTTGGCGAGCGTCCAGTCCCGCGACTGGTCGCGGACCTATCTCTGGAGCGACGTGCGACCAGTCGCGCGACTGGTCCTGGACTATGAAAGCAGCCGTAGTGAGGTTTGGATCCAGCTAAGAGGTCATTTTTGTTCATATGAGAATGGAGGGTGACGTTTGCAAAGGATCCATCCAAGACTTGCAGAGTAGTGATGTGATAATTTCCTCTTTTTATCGTGATCAGGCTCTTCGTGAGCTCATAAGGAACAACTTTTATCTACTCCAACATCACCTTATAACGCGTTGTCTCGTTGATCATCGATTTTCTTGGGAGATAACGTCTCCATTAATCATTGTCGCAAGCCAGAGCAGTCCACTGTATCGGCATTGCATTACTCTTGGTCAAGGCTTCCGTGTAGAAGACTGACCATCTGCTGTTAGCCGACCTTGTGCTCGTTTGACTTCCTGAGATTTCCAGTTAGTAGCAACACAAATCGCATTTCTCGCTTCAACATAATAAGCTTCCTTTACAAATGGTAGTGATAGCTTGTTGAAGGATATCAGCTCTATTCATTTTGTTTCCTAGAGATTGTTTTCATGAAACCAATCGATGAGACTATGAACATGTCCAGCGATGCTGTGAATCATGCTGTCATTTTTATATTTTCACAGTTTTTAGCAGCATGGCATGAATCATTTTCATTGACATGAAGTGCATTTTTGTTGCGATGTCCTCCGTCCCATCAGTTCTTTTGATATTGCGCGTTCCAACGATTGCCATTAGATTTCTGTTCCCTCGCGTGTTCCCTTCTGTTCCTTCCCTTTCATTAGCGCTCATAATCTTCTTTTACTTAAAATATTCATAGTTCACGGCTGGTGATTGTGAGTGTTGTTTACCTTCAGCCTTCAGCTCCCTAAATAATTGTTAAACAGCTCTCTGAAGCTTGAAATTTCGGTTTTTTCTTTCACTTGGAACTTCGCCCCATTTCACAAGCAAGCCCTGACCTCTACCCTAAATGAAAGGAAGCACCGTTCGTCTAGAAGTATGTCATCTTTTCTGATTGGGTGTCGGAAGGATGTCTACAGCTTCATTTCGTGCAGACCTCATCTGCACGTTGTCATCTGACTAACTTTGGAACCCACGGATTTTCTCATACTGTCATCTGAAGGTTACAAGCGGACTTCTTTTTACGGAGCGGCTGGGTTGTTTGAGTTAAGTGCTGTTATAGGTTGAACGTGAGTGTATAGTGGCGTGTCCGAACTAATATTGAAACCGTCTCTTCGAAAGCTGTAGAGCTGCCAAGTACTTTCCCAAATCCTACATGATCATTGGGTGTTTTCAGAGTTCATCGACCAACCGACTGACCGACCGCGGCGCTGGCCACGTTTTGATAACACTGGGCAGATTGCGATGGCGCTGGCCACATGTGCAACGACCGACCAACTGACAGACGGTGTAGCTGGCTACGTATTCACAGCACTGGACAGGTTGTGTCCAGGGCCGCATGAGTGGCTGCTTTCATAGCCCGCGAGCGAGCGATCGAGCGATTGGGCGGCGCTCCGCCCTTGTATACAACTGAATCTTGATCGATACCGCGGACAAGCGCCGCCCCAATCGCTCGATCGGTCGCTCGCTCGCTCGCGGGCCGAATCTTGGACTATGAAAGCAGCCAGTTACTAGGACGCGTGATCCATCGGCGTCCTGTGTTGTCAACACGTATACAGCAACACAGATGATCGGTCGGTGCATTCTGAAAGCTGCTTTCAGGTTCCGCCTGCCAGCCCCGCGCGCGCCGGCTGGCCGGCTAGCCGGTGGCGCTGGCCCTTGTTGACAATACTAAATGTTGATCAATACCGCAAGCCGGCAATGACTAATTTCTTGGTATTGAAAGCGGCCACTGCTTCTTCCGGTGCTAAGTGGGTTGGGGGGACCACGCGGCGCGGTTGCGGCGCGGCGCGGCGCCCTGCGCTGTCCAAGTCCGAGACAGTGTTTGGAGACGTTTCATAGTTTTTTATGTTGTAACAGTGTATTTTTCACCTGTTCTAGGAAGGGGGGGGGGGGCTCCGAGGTGGATGTGCCAATTGGACGTTCAACTTTTATCTCATCTCAGCTTCTTGCACGAGACAACCATCTCACCCACCCCCGGAGCCCCTCCTGCTTAAAAAATAGGTTTTGTCGGCTCAGACGAAGTGTATTCATTGTATGCAAACATATTGTTTGTTCTGAATCACGAAACACATGAGTACAACCTTACCATTCCTTCCCAGACTCAGGCTCACTACTGTCTTGCTGGAGAGCGCAGGGTGCCGCGCCGCAGCCGCGCCGCGTGGTCCCCCCCCAACCCACTTAGCACCCTTTTTCCTCTGCGAATACAAATACAAAAACACGAAACTACAGTACAAATACAAAACAACAAAAACACAAATAATACAATACAAAACAAAAATACAAGTACAAATAGGAGTATACAATACAATGGGAATACAAAATTCCATAGTCAAAAGTATCGAAAGTAAACAGCTCTAAGGGAAGAGCCGCGGCCGCTTTCAGTGCCGAGAAATTAATCATTGCCGGCCTGCGGTATCGATCAACATTCAGTGTTGTCAACAAGGGCTAGGCCGGTCAGCGCGCGCGAGGCTGGACGGCGGACGCGGACTCTGAAAGCAGCCAAAGCGCCTTGTCGGGGAGGCGTGATCCATTCATCCATCGGTGTCCTGCGTTGTCAACACGTGGCCAGCCCCGCCGTCGTCGTTCGATCGGTCGGTCGGTCAGTCAATCAGTCGGTCGGTCGTTCGGTAACGTCGCTGAACTCTGAAAGCACCGGTTCAGACAAATGCATGGAGATCGTCACGTGCTGCAACCATATCACGGCCCTAGCTTTCCGACTATAATAACCGGGGCTAACCGTTTTTGCAATCCGCTTGCCCAAGGTTCTACAGAAAAGTGACTGCATACCTTTCTCGGGATGGGAGTAGGCAGGAATCGAGTTTGATAGAAAGTAAGAAGTAATATCTAGAAAAAGTTGTATGAAAAAGTGATGCATGCGCTGCTTCGAGGGGCATCCATATCACTACCTGAAAAACTGAGTGTTTAGGAAAAGCGCATACACGAGATACAAGACAGCACATTGAAGAGCACGGTCAATATCGAATATTAGACATACGTTTGCAGATTGTGGGAAGAATCGTAGGCCGGGTTAGAAGCTGACCCCCATGAGCCTATTGCTCCTATTATGCTATAGTCCGTGCTCTACAGAACGAGCCTTTTGTCTTTCATCTTGCAAGTTATTTGTTCATTTTGCTGTACATTGTGCTCTATTCTTCTTCATGTTGTTTCTTGGAGGAAATTTCTCTAAAACTCTCAATAAAAGGCGGTACAACATACTGATGTAGATTTCGTTACTTATTTTATTTATTATTTGCTATAGAGCCGATCTGAAGATGTCCATTAAAGTGGAGCGATGCGCACAGAGACCACCATCTGCACCAGCAAACTCATCAGTTCATCGAGTAGTTTCCTTAGTCGACAAATCGATAGCGTTCAAGGTATGAGAACCGAATCTTCATTAGATTGTTATAAAGGCTGGATTTTACTGTAAAATTTAGTATGTTTTTACACTATGGGTGCTGAAAGTCTTTAAATTCAATTAGTTTCTTTTTGCCAGTGAACATGAGTGATTTCTCCGCCATCAAGACAAACGCTTGCATTAAAATAGAAAGAGCGTAAGGTCGAGTGGAAGGGTTCTTTAATCGTGGGGCAAGTCGCCATAAAAAGACCTAGAATTGCTTTTGTCTCCTCAGACGATGTTAACATTCGACAGCAAAAGTGTGACGGCAGAGAGAGCTGCTGGGAGTCTGTTGCTGGATCTTTTATAGTTGCACATGTCGATCAGGGAAGAGCAACTTCCCGACAGATATAGCTCTAGATTTTCAAAGAGACGTCTGGATCAGAAGTTCCGTTTATAAAAAATCAAGTATTACAGGGGTGTGGTGCAGTAGGAACGAAATTGTCGCATCGCGGCGAGAGACGTCGCGCGCGAAGGAATGTAGCAGAATGCTGCAACATGTGAGAAATTCAGGAACAGAAGAACTAGCAGTAGAATCCTGCCCAAGTAAAAGTCGCATAGCGATTGAGCTGTATGAGGAACGCTAGAACTGTTGCAGGCACATCGATTACACAAAACCGTTCCTACTGCCCGTCTCCCGTATTACAGTAGTCGGTCTTAACTCTCTTTTTCGGCATGACCGAAGTGCTTCACGTAACTTCCATAAATACCACTCGCTTCCAAAACGGAGCCTAATATTATTATATAAGGATTGGCCGGAGTCGGAGGCAAAACTGAATGCGCCTTGTTGAAATGTATTCCTTTGTTTTGGTTGTACAATTGGTGACAACCAACTGTGCGTTGCTTGATGACGTGTAGTCGCAAACGTCTGTTCAAGAAGAAAATAGGGCTTCTCGTGCATTTTATTTCGGTTAGGCCTTCGTGTCGGTAACAAGAAAATGATACAGACGTCTGTGTTGATGGCAACTCTATACAGGGTGCATCATAAATATTGTAACAAACATAATAATTCTTGTGCAGAAACCGCAAGTCATATTAATACATGGTAAATTTATGTAAATTACTTAATATGTATTACATCAACAAAACGAACGCACAGTCATCCATTATAACCGTCTGCTGTACCAAATATAGCTCAGATACTTCGGCTATTCATCGAAGGCAGTACACATTGTTTTTTTTTTTGGAAGACTCCATTCGGAGTTCATTTTTCAACGACTTTTTAGAAGTAGCAACAGTGGCGTGTTTTTGAGGGCAGGCCTAATTCTCCAGTAAGAGTATACAAACGCGCCCGTAGAATTGGGGCCGGAAAATTTGTAGGCCAATTGGAATCATGGACGAAATTGCGAACATCTCCTCAGCACCAGTCTCGACCTTTTTCTACTTGTGAACAAGTATGCGAGCGTTTCCAAATCGTAATAATGGCTGAAACAATCTCTAATCATGAGCAGCACCTTCTCAAAAACGTCTCTCGTGAAATAAGTCTTTCTCGTGTTTCTAACCTTTCTCAACATCCTTGCCACTTGTAGTGGGAGATATACGTGTACTGGGGCATGACCTTTATTTATTTTCTTTTTGTCTTATTTACTTATTCATTTATGCACTCCACCGAGTGCGCCACAACTATTGGCAAATAAGCCACTCGCCGCTACTATACAAAGAACAAAAAGCAAACCAAGCATGGGAAGTGAAAACAAGTAAAAGCAACCCATAGAGCAACATAGGAAAGAAGATAGGCTCATGAAACGAAGCTTTCAGCAAAAAAGTCGGAGGTTCAGTCGAGAGAATCTAGATCCAGGATGCGCTGAGGATAAACTGTTGAGATAGGGAGGCATTTCATCGCGAGCATCAGCAGAACGTAGATTCATGAGAAGCGATAGCGGTACTGTTGAAGATGCTCGATTCTCGCCATACATTGAAGAAGGAATACAAAGTAGAGCGGGGAACTAAACTTGATTCTTTTTCTCAAACTTCTCGTTATGATATCATAAGACTTTCGAAACTCATCTGGATACAACTGTATTCGCCAGGAGAAGACGGTTTCATACATTCGATTCGGCAGTAACTTTTCTGGTGTTCCTGCAGATTTTGTGGTGAAACCATTCCCTGACAATTGTATTAGGAAAAGAGATCGTAACCTAGGCAAGGCGATCGGCTTGATGCCGATCGTTGTCCTATCCACGCATCCGATACAAGAGTCTGTCACGCGAGAAATTTCGGGCAATAGGTTCTGAAAATGGGCTCCCTAACTGCGCACGAAGAAGAAGCGGCTGCTGAATGATTCCGAGGCTTCACCATTTTTCGAAAACTGATGATTTGAGAGCACAGAAGCAGCTACGTGAGCTAAGGGATATACAGGGTGGGCCAAAATTATGATTACAGCGCGCGCTGACGTTCATTGCAAATTTTTTCTATGTTCATAACAATTCATTGAATTTCTTCCATTTCACAAAGTAGCCTACGTTATTACCTTTCTAATGATACTAAACTTTTGGTGGATTTTCAACATAATATAAACGTAACAAGTCCGTGAATTAAACGTCGCTTTGCATTTACAAACACTTTTGGCACGGTGCATCTACAGACGAAATAGCGAAACAAGGCAGGAATTGCATTCAACCATAAGAGGCTCTCGAGCGTGGATATATTTAGAGGAAGTGTTAAGGAGGCAGGGCAAAGGTCTACGTAGGAGCAAAATACATTCTGAGTCCAAAAAAGCTAAATGATTGGATATGTCACGAAATTTTCTGCGTGAAATCGTGAAACATAACCTGCACAACGAGACGCTTATACGATCAGAAAGTGATTTCTCCAGAGAGCAGGTTAAAGAGAAGAGAAAGGTTGGCTAACAAAAGCTGCCTGACGCATCCGAAAAAATTGTCCTACGGAATTCCTGTTCACCGACGAAAAGAGAATCACAGTGAAATAGGTGCTCAATAAGTAGAACGATAACATTTATATGAAGCTTAAAGAAATGAAAGTGATACAGCGCCTGGCTCACTAACTTTCTGTGATGGCCTGTGCTAGCATCACCGCCAAGGCAAAGACACCGATTATTCTTGTAAATTATGGAGTGAAAGTTGGTTTGGAGGCCCGTTTGATCTCTTCGTGCGCAATAGGACACTTTGGTGATTCGAACCGGTCATATTGTCAAGATGAAGCTCCTGACCGCAGAACAGAAATCGTCTAGAAATCTCGTGAAAGGGGTTCTTTGACTTCATAACCTTCGATCAGTGACCACTCTGGAGCCCTGACCTAAATCCCATGAATGTCTTAATGTGGTCAGCCTCTGAGATGAAAGCATCCTTTGGCCCAAACAAGAGAAGAAACAATCTCGAAAATGCTTAGCAAAAAGCCGGGACCATTTCGATGACCCTAGCTGCGTGCCACCGTCAACGCCGTCCATCGTCGTCTTTGGGGTTGGGTGAAAGCAGAAAGCAACAGNCAAAATAGCACCGGCCACCTATTAAATTAATTCCAAGATGAATAATACAAATACAAGACAGGATCAACCGCAGGAGCCATATCGTCGCCGTCTAAATCACCTGCAGCATCATCGTCGCTGTCGAGCAGCCCAATATCCGGGACATTCATGATGACAAAAATAGTCGCAAGGATAATAGTACTCTCAGAGATCCTATTTATGTACCCCTAATTCAAATTTATCACCGCAAAATTTGAAATTACCTCAAGTAGCCGCAAATCTTGGGCAAATTTTGAGTACTACTGGAAGGTTTGCGGATTTCAAATGTTTTTGAATGCAATCACTGATTTTTTCGAGAAATAACAAATTTCCCAGAAAGAAATTGTGTCGTCCCGGGGGACAGACACGAGAAAATTGGCTCGTCGTCAACGTGTTAAGAGCTTGGGGAAAGCTGTTCAGGATTCTGTTTTTAGCCTAGTTTTTTTATCGGCCGGGTATGTATGGTTATGTATTCGTTATTCACGGAGCATTAACCTTCTGTTTGATATACAGAACTTTGCTCACAATCAGAGCTCTGCTCCCAATGCTTGTTGGGGCACGTTAGGAACACGCAAGCTACTTTCTAACATTCAGTAAGTCCTCAATTCCTAATGGTTTGTTAATTTTTTAGGTCTGGATAACATGCAGAACGCGAAGCTATCAAGTGCGTCCAAATCAGGGATTTCTGGAAGGCGGTGGTACTGTAGCATTACTAGTTATTCCAACCAGTATTCGTTACCCAGAAGCAAGTCTACGAATCGATTGGATTGAAGCCGATCCTTCCGAGCGCGATGTACGCGTAGCGTTCAGATCTGCCAACCGATCTGGTCATGTAATACACCCACTCAATTCGAAAATGGTCTACACTGATGAAAAGTTTCCAACAGCTCTTTTGCGAGCTCATACCGATCCTTATACGAATATGCGACGATCATGGATTTTCATCAAGTTTGGCAGGAAGACCCTAGCAATAAGAGATCCCGATACTGTTTGGTAAGATCAATTCTGGTCATCATTTTATCCGTTCTCGAAAAATTTCGAGTAAGTTCGACCTTCAATCGCTTCCGGTATCCTCGGCAATTTTTCAAACTCTCCGTTTTTGATATGTAATTTGGAGTTCGAGTGTGAATGCTCACTCGTTCTCTAGCTGGCTTCATTGGCAGCTTTCATAGTCCGCCGGCCGGCGTGCCACGAGGTAGTGCTAAGGAGGAGGAGGGCGCAGACGGTCGGTCAGCCCCTCGAAGGGCTGTAAACAAGGAGAGACAAGATCAAAAACCATTTGTACGAGCCCCTGGTTGTTTGGTTTTTGACCTTGTTCTTCTTTGTTTTCACCCCTTCGACCGACCGTCTTCCGCCCTCCTCCCCCCTGGCACTGCTTCGTGGCACGCCGGCCGGCGGACTATGAAAGCAGCCATTGGTTTTCGCACGTCTTCAAAACCAGGCATTAGGGAGTGGTCGAATATCCGCTTATATCTTAATATCTGCTGGTGTTCGGTTCTTCTCAGCCGCATAATATGTCAAGTTTAGGAGCGCCATATCTAAGATATATGATTCGTTGTGTTTTCATAGAGTGATGTTAGAAGAAGCTCCGTTGTATTACACCATGGATTCGATGGATGGTGAGAAGGTAATATGAAAAACAGACTTTGCGAATGGCAGGTATAGTTGTTTGAATTATAGATTGCAAGTGAATTGCGGAACCGACTTCGTGGCCAGAAAAAAGGCTCATTTCCTGTTCTATTGCTTATTGACGATTGTAATTATTCCGTGTTATTGTATATCTTGACACATATATCAAACACTATTGTTTCCAGCTGGGGCACATTTCTCAACGTTCATTAAAGAACGATTTTCCAATGATCTTTATGTGTTTGAAGTACAAAGCCAGGAATTAGCTGATATTGCAGCCAGCACCGCCGAGAAACCTTACAAAGAACTCGAGTGGGTGATACAGATAGGTTATTACAGTTATGTTTGCTTTGATGACATGTTGCATTCTTTAGTAAGTGGTGTACTGAATTCTCCTCGATCATTCAAGAAAACGAAAAAGAACAAGGAGCAGTTTCCAACAGGCCAGAGTATGTGGTGTTTACTTTGCTTTGGCCATTTTTTTGCACAATTTAGAGGATTCTATTTTTATTTTTTTAAGTGATACCGGGTCCTCAAAAGGCATGGATGATTTGGAGTGTTCTAGACAATACGACGATATTGGTGTCACCGCATACGACACTCTGAAGTAAGTAGGTTTCGTGCATTTATTCGTTATAACCTCAATATATTTGCGTTGTAATTATCTTTAGAATATGTTTCTCTGGCATAAACTATGTTTGTGACCGGAATCATCCATGAGAATACAGCCATAGGAGTATTCGGCACTTTTTTAGAGATTGTCCTCTCTAAATTATTTCGTCAAAGGGTGTTTCAACTGACTGAGCGTGCATTTGACGCTAGACCGCGATTTTTCAAACCACTGGTGGCAGATGATAATTATGAAGGGGCTTTGCAAGACCGATGATGACATTTGCCAGAGGTCTCATTCTATTTGGTCCAGAAATATTGTTGTTAGGATTAATGTTGAGCACCTAGCAGTAGTGGATTCCAGAGTTGGTAGGAAAAAGAAGCCTGTTTTACAGCACCAATGTCTTCGTATTCTCTTTCAATCCTTGGGGTAGCTTGGCATGGGATCAGAATGAACCGAAGCCGAAAAATGTAAGAGAGAAGGTTTTCAGGAGAGATATGCTACATATCCTCCTTCTTTTCGCTGCATTCGTTATTTCAAAGGGGGAGGTGGTTAAGCGATGGATCTGCTACAGCTCTAGCTCTAGCTGTGGACCACATAGTATTAAAATCCTTCAATTTATAATTGTTGATTTTGAAAGATTGTCATTTTATCATTGCAGTGCGGATGAACCACATATGGAGGAAAAGAAGGACGTAGATGTTTGCAGAGGATCGGTGCCAGTATCTGGAGTGCAAGGTGGGGCTCAGAGTGGTATTGGTGAATTGCATTAATTTCAGTATACATAGAATGACATTAATTGTTATAACTAGGTTTTTCTGTTCTAATTGTTTTATAAATGTTCGTAGACTTAAATGTAGTGATCTATTAGGGTGTCCGAAAAGTTTTGAAAAAAATTCAACCGTTTGCTCAATCGCAATGTAACCACAGCAGTAAAGTTAGCTTGAAAATCAAGACAGTGGCCTCATCATAACCACAATGTTTCTCGATCGACTGGGGCAATACATTCATCTACTACCGCTTGTCTTTCTGACGATCACTGAACTATTTCCCTTCAGAATAGGAGTATGTATTTTGAAGGTATGGTAGTCATTTATGCAGGTAATATAGGTAAGGTCCGGCGAAGAAGTGGGTAGTAAGGTAGCCAAATTATATTAAGGCTTTCTAACTCCTCCATAGGCGTCCTCGCATGGGTGGTCCGGCATTATCCATCACAGTCGAAAACTCCTTCGTGATCGGTGCGACATTGGGGCTCGAAACACCACCTCTCTCAGTTGTTCACAGAATCCCCTTGCGGTCATCGCAGTTCACTCCGGTAGTATCTCGTGGTTAGTAAAACACACGGTTGAGAAAAGAGTGAGCTCATGTCCTTCTTGACCTGAGCGCTTGTGGATTTCCATGTGATATTTGGTTTTTTTAGAACTGGTGAGGTGTAGTGGCAAGTGGCGCGCTTCACTCTCGCATGGACACGGGTTCGAATCACGGATCGATATCCGCCCATGCCAACCAACCTTTCCATGTACATCGGCTGGCCACCGCAAGTCATTGTATATGCCAAATCCACATTCAATACGCTACTACGATTCTGAATGGAAGTCAAATGCATGGGCGCATCCCTCAGACGGAATTGATCAACGCCTAAGACTTTAGACTTTATCCTTCTATCTACATTTTATCCTGAGTAATAATGAAGCCGGTTGATGTCGGCTTTGCTTGCGGTCGAGGAGCTTTTGCGTAGAAGATCGTGATGAAATGATGAAATGGGGAGTAGAGATCATTTTACCATCTGCTGAACATTGAGGAGGATTGCTCTGCCGTCAGGTCGGAACCGTTTCGGTATTTGAGAACAGTGGACGTCCGCTTCGACAAGCTTCGTCCAAGCAAATTTCGTCTCAGAAAAAGCGATCATATCATTCATGGTATGTGACGAGATAGGGCGCACTGCTGCCCACTAATCACCATAACTCATCCCAAGCCTTAGTGTGGAAGCGATCAGTTTTGCAATGGTGAAGCAGAAGGCTCCTTTCTCGTCGATCGCACATCGGTCGTCGGTGACAGGTACTTCTAAAGAGGTGGTCGATCACCGATCGGCCGTAGTATCGATCTATCAACAGCGGCCTTACCCATCGGTTTACCGTGTTCGGGAGCAACATGCTTTCGCAATTTAGAGGCATATTTTTTTCAAAACTCTCTAGACACCCTAATGAATGCTTCCAGGTCTTAATGTTTCAACCGACCGTCCGTTCAACGCGTGCGCGACGGCGCCGCCTGGCCGTTGTTGACAACACTAGATCACGTGCCGGCGCTGTCAACACTACTCTAGCGCCGCCGTCGCAGCACGCAAGCGACCGACGTCGCGCACGCGTTGAACGGTCGGACGGACGGACGGTCGTCGAAGTCTGAAAGCGGCCAATACCTAATCCGTTATTAATACTCACTAATAATTTTTCACAGACTACTATGGAAAGAGTCCATCAATTGCATCTGCCGGTGATGTCGTAGAAGCCCTGAAGTATGCCAGAAGCAATCATCTTGACGCTGAATTTGTTAGTTTTTGAAGCATTCCATGTTTTCCTGGTCATAAGTTCCCAACTTTTTTTTAAGGTAACAGAGCTGGCTGGTCCACATGTGTACAACCGATTGTGTTGCCCTTTCGCTGATATTCTTCCGAACATTTACCTCATGCAGCTGATTTATATGTCTTGTTCCGTTATGTCTCATCTGAGAGATGTTTACGAATCTGCTCGCCACATCATTTGCAGTGTTTTTTCAACACGGTTGGTATTTCCTTTTACACATATTTACATCCTGTGCTCCTATTTCCACACACTAAGAAGATGAATTCCGTATATGTAGAAGTCTCAAATAGCAAGTCTCACCATCTCACCACGAAAGGATCCCAGGTCAGGGTGGCCGTATGAAATCAGGCCTATACTGCCCGAAGTATTTTCGGATGCTCATCTCAAATCTGCTCTCCAAATTTGCCGAGCGATTCTGTCAATGAAATCATGAGGTATTTTAGGTGAAGCTTAACATGAGTGAACTTAAAGGCACAGTTCATGATAATTTTGAGGTATCCGTTTTCATTCGGAAGGCGGAAGTATAGTTGAGAATAGTTCATCGGTAGTGAAAAAGATCAGGGAAGACTTTTGAAAGGGGCCGAAAGGAGTATGGCTCTTCAATAATGTTCGCCTTACGAGCGCAGCCAGTGGGACAAGGAGGTGGAGCGGGGCAGGCCCCGCTGACCACAACGCCGGTCATCCTGCTATCCACTGCTCAACCGACGACGGCGATGTCGGCGTCCCCAGCGGCGAGCTGGCCAGCTGTAGTACCCTGTGTGAAGCCGTAGTCGGCAGCCCCGCTGCAGAGGACGGCGCGACGCCGTTCACAGCAGAATAGGCCGGTGTGGAGGGCCATTCGGAAGTTGTGGGACATTTGCGTCCTCCAAAGCGGAGGTAGGAGCCGAAGAAGCCCCTACGAAGCAAGCCAAAAAAGCCGCAGCCGAATTCTATACGATGCACGCCGAGGACGAAATTGCAGCGGTAGCCTGGAAGAGGCACACTGTAGTAGCCGCTCGCGTGGAGGGCGAGCGGTTGTTGCTCAACACGATGGCGTTGAAAATTGAGTGGTAATCAAATGATTTTGAGGTTAATTGTTCTGATGTGTAGCAAAACTGTAGACAAGATGGCCTCCCGTGTGAGTGACCGGAGGGTCACTAGGGGGAGGTGTGAGGGAGTGTGAGAGAGGGTGTTTAGAAGTGAGGAACGAAGAAGGATCAGCGGGATAGGAGTAATAGACAATGAGAGAGTATATAAGTGTTCGTATTCTATAATAATCATTCCACTCTCTGTTGGTTGCCTGGCACCGTAACCAGTGGCCTGTTCCAATCTGCGATATTATACGGATAGCATTTGTTCATTCTTCACTCCTTCCAACTTGAATACTTTGTTAGAAGTGTCTCTGATTGAAATTATCCAGGCCAGAGTGAATACTTGAGGACAGATCGTCAAAACAAGTGCTTCTATTGACACTTATGATGCAGCTGACTAGGTGCTTCGTTAGGTATTTATAGTAGCTGTACTTGTGTATGTCTTGAACTTAAGACCCATCCCACAGCTTTCCTATTCAATTCTATCAATCACTTCTGATATCCGAGTTTTTTTGAGTTGTAGGTCAGAAGGTCAGTCTATCATAGCATAGACGGGTGTTTTCCGAAGCTGTGTGCACGACTTTCTGGTGATTTTTTTGGTAGATGACCCCCCGACTTACAAAAAGCGCTGCTGCCCTCTCACTCAATTCTAATTTGGACTCCAGTATTTGAACACATGCGGTTTACAGATATATTCCAACTGTGTGCGAATTCTTCGGGTACCCGGCTATAAATGACTCACGTAAGTGGAACGACGGCTTTTCAGATTTCCTTGTTGCAATTATGGACTTATTTATTGTCATCGACAAGTACAGGTATCATGGAGAAGAAGTGGTGAGTACAGCAAAGTAAACAAAAAGTTTTTGATATGGTACAAAGCAGCCAAATTATATTGTAGTGGCTAGCATGGACAACGTACTACGATGTTTTAACTAAACTTCCTGAGGCGTTCTGGGCAGAAGAAGTGGCCAGAGATTGGCTAGAACAGTTGGCTATTGAGCTGAAAGTAATTTCTTCAACTTCAATCAATAATTGGCTCAGACACAAGTTTACCGTATGAATTTCCAGCACTTGGGTCACTACCGTCCAGCTCAACTTACTTCGACTGGTGAGATCCGCAGAAGGGAGAACCGAATGAAGTGTAAACGACAGAAAGAGCAAACGATGTACGGGATTCAGGAAAATCAGTCACAAATTGAGAGGCAAAGAAGAGTAGGAAAGGAAGAAAACTTGAAGAAAGGCTTGAGATGGAGAAAGAGATCAAGGAAATGAATTCGATACCACAGTCGTTAGAAGTCGTAATTCTTGTAATTGCTCACCTGAAATTCCCTTCAAAGTCGATAAAATATTTGGGCTAGACAAGGCAAATGAGCGCCGAGGCAAATACATAGGGTCCAATCAAGAGTGACGAGACAAGCTTGTCTCTTAATACAGAACTTCGGCAAATTTTTTGTTTATTGTTCCACCTAGCACACTATGCCACATCATTTTTTTTAGTAAGCAGGAGCCAAATATGGCTCCCGAACAAGTAATTGAACAACCACTATGGCAGGATTGTGAAAATCGCCCGCCTCCATGTGATTTTCGTACCTTGAGTGAAGTTCCTGTGATATCCGACATCTATAACGCTGGTGATTTCTTTTTGTAATTAGCAAAAAACGTGTGGCAGAGTCAGCTCCAAATCTAACAATGCACAGCCGATTCTAAGCAGGCAATACCGACCTAATGTTTTTTCATTTTATTTTAGAAAAGACATACGTCCGTCGAGCGATTGTTGATGGTAAGTATACAGATGCCGAACACTATCTCGACGTACAGTTTCGATTGTTTCGCGAAGATCTGGTCAGCCCACTCCGAGATGGTAGAGGAGTATATCTTATGAATGGTCAGCAATATTGAACTAACTTCCGCTTCAACCTTACGGAGGGGTAGCTATGCCGTAATCGCTATAAATGATATTCAGGTAGTAATCGCTTCAACAGATGCGCCGAGGACATTGATGAACTGACGCATGGGCTGCTGATATTTGATGTGGAGAAAGTGTTAGGATTGGAAGTGCATTTTCACGATGGTGTACCTCTTCGTTATGCAATGCTTACGGTCTGTGATTTCTGTTTGTCTGTTTTTCTGTTCTGACTTATCCCTTCGCTATACGGCCACTAACGTTATTTCCAGTCGAAATCGATCTCAGATCCTATACTACCTAGACATTTAATGTTTGGCCAAATAGTGTGCCTGTCGTCAGACGGTTTTCGTGATGATTTGCACCTGGCTAAGATTGTTGAGCGCGACACTACGGTATGTGTAGATTATTTTCTTTTGTTTATTTTTTTTATTTTGACCTTCTATGCTTTCCAATTTCTGTATCCCATAATCTTCTTCCCCTTTTTGACTGTGCTATTTGACGTGAAAATGCGATGCACGCCTGCCCTTCTTTACCCCCCCGGCTGCTCTTTTACAACTCCTCCAATTCCGAAACTTTCTGGTTTCGCTGGGTGGATGATGGTTGAGTGAATACTCCGTTTTGGTTTTTAACAGTATGTACATATGTCAGCTAGCCGGAAACTCAGCCGACGTCTCATTAAATGCTCTGCATTTCCAGTCATACATTGGCAATATATTAGGTTGATGCATAATTATTGCGGACTTTTTCGCGCCTTTTTTTCTCCCGAAAGTGTTTGACTATTGAATTCGGGTTTCTTCTAGAAATGATCTACTTGATTTCCTCTACAAGAATATACTCAAGAGTCCATCCGCATGTTCGCGAAATTAGGCTTAACTACTTCGAGAAAGATTGGAAGGTGGCGCAGTCATTCCGCG